ACCCTGTTATGCTATGAAATCCCTCATATTTGTATCCCAAATGCCTATGATAAAGTTTGTCACACTTTAAACATTTAATCAGCTCCTTTTAAGGGAGATGAATGAAGGTATGAACACAGTAAGAGAAATGTTATATACCCTTGTTATAACTTTCTAAGCAGAAGGGGATTCATAAAATTAGGCACAGAGGATACCCCATCCTTTCATGTGGCTTCATTTTATTGTATAACTCTCAAGTGCACTCTGTGCCTGACAAAGGGTGCATTAGAGTAAATGTTTCTTACATAGGCCAGCTAGTTAGAAAAATACCTAGTTGGTGAAGGAGTTGCTTAAACTTAAGCAAAACCCTCATGACCGTTTATTGCTCAGAAGAGATTAACTGTCTTTCTTAGCAGATGTGTAAGATCCTCCTAAGTGGCAGCTGGAGTCATTTCAACTTTTATTTTGGCAGGGCTTAAACTAACAGGCAGCAAAAACTGTCTTTGTTTATTGAGGAGTTATCAGTGTAATTCCTTAAATAGCTATGTTACATAATATGTATCCCCACCTCACTGGACTCAGTTAATTCTCATCATTCACTCATAAGCCAGACATGCTACTTCTCTTTAAGGTGTCTGAAAGAGAAGAAGACCATCTGCTACAATCCCTTTCTTAAATTCTTGGTTCATGTACTGAGTCTGCAGGACTCCCAGTGGGTATAGCATCCTACTCAAGGTATGGGAGGGGCTAAACAGTTCAAAAGCAACTTCATTTGTTGTGGGACCCAGAGGAGTGGTAGTGAGAAAGATCAGAGGCAGCAATTTGACACATGCAGAGGTGCTCCTGGACTCACTGTAGCTTTTGCATTTTTAAATTCTGTTATTTCATATTCTACTCTAAGGTCTTGGTATGGTAGAAAGATCCTAGGCCTGGGTGTGTTAGAAAGAATATAAAACTAAGAATCCAGAAACTGTGGATTCTAGTCTCGGGTCTGCCAACAACCATGGCAGGTAATCTCAGTTCACACTACTGTAAAGTGAATATATTATAGTTCCATTCAGCATTCAAATTGTAACAATTTCATGCCTTATTTTTACAGAACCCCAGACTCTTTTGAGCCTTTGTCTTTAGCCACAGACAATTTAGCCGTCAATTGGTGTAGCAATGACAAATCAATCTGGATGACTGTTTTTCCCAGTTATCTTTAGCCTGGCACTTCCTGTTGACTTTGAGCAAAGGAATTACTTTCCTCAGCCTTGTGGCAACATTTTGGCCTAGAGACTGGGTTAAGGAGATAGAAGTGCTATGACATCCCTTTGGAGGCTGATTGTGGTGGTCATGTTGTTCTTTCCAAAATATCCTAAATGTAATTCAGTAACGTCAAAGTAGTCTCCAGGAAATTCAGATTACCCTTATGTTGGAAGATGTCTTTTTTCACGTATATTAAAAGCACTCAGTTATTCTGCAATTAAGAGTAGTATTTTTTTTTTAATAATCTGGCTTGGTAATCTCAAACTTCTCCCAATTCCACTTCTTTAATTCTCTTTTCTTCATCAGCCATCATAGAGGTTTTAAGGATGCACCCTGTTTGGCATGGGAAAGGAGAAGGAAACCAGCATTTCTACAGCATCTTTCAGGACTGAAAGGTTGGAAAACTTTCATCTACAGACCACACCATAGAAAGGTGAGAGGCCTATTTTTGCCCCCCCTTCCATTTCCACTCGATGCCTTATACAGCAGCCCTGAGTGGGCTGAGGACTCTGCTCTGTATGAGATCCCCCTGAAGCTCATTGCCCTAGAAGAGACTAGCAGGAAGTGGTATCTGATCAGTGTCACCACTTTGTGGGCAGAGACGTGGTTCATGAGCTTAGTTAAGAGAACAGCTGATGGGAGCAAGGCCGCAGGCTTCAGTTCCATAAGGCCAGTTCATGTTGCTCTGTTTCCTGATGGGAGTTGATGCTCCATCTCAAAATTGTATGCCAAGGCTCTCAATGGGAAGTAGGATATGGGATAATCTGGATGAAGTTTGTACCATTGTGTTAGGGACTAAAACAACATCTTTGAATGCATAAGCACTTTCTATTTAATCCTCACGACACATCTGTGAGGTAGAGTTATGACTATTAGAAAAGGAAACTGAGGCTCAGAGAGTTTTAAGTAACTTGTCCAATGTAACTAGGAACAAAATCCAGGTATCTCTGAATTCCAACTCTGTTTTTTCCACAGCACCATGCAATTTCCCAAAACGTCTGTCTTCATTCAAAAGGGCTAATCTTTTTCCTTTATTTTTAGTCAGATTCAGAGTCTCACTCTCTCATCCAGGCTGGAGTGCCATGGCATGACCATAGCTCACCACAAGTTCAAACTCCTGGGTTTAACCAATCCTTCCATCTCAGCTCCAATATAGCTGGGACTACAGGTGTATATCTAGTTTTAAACTTTTTTTTTGTAGAGATGGAATCATGCTATGTTGCCCAGGTTGGTCTCTGACCCCTGACCTGACCTCAAATCCTCCTGAGTTAGCCTCCCAGAGTGTTGGGATTACTAGCAGGAGCCACTGTGTCTAGGGGTTCATTTTTCTGTGTTAGCAAAAGATGATCGAAAAGTGTCCAGCAGCTTAGAACAAAGAGGAATGACAGTAGTCAGTGCTGCATGAAAACTGAGTATCAGTTCTTGAATTTTATGTTAGTCTAGTTTAAAGATTTATTTAATTATATTCAGAAGATGGAAATAGGTAAGTTTGAAGTTGAGTTAACTTGTCTCCTGAATATAATTCTCAGTAAATGAGTGGTAAAATTTCCCTCCCCTATTAATATTTTGAAGGAACTGGGAGGGTCTAACCTGACTACTCTGAATGTGTCATTCCAAAACTGGCTTTGTGTCTTAGCGGTTGGTGCCTTAAAGCCAGCTCACACAGGTTTTGGCTCTGGGGAGCTCTGACTCTTGGAGATCTTTTCCCACCTCTGCATTCAGTGATTCTGTAGTGGCAGCTTGAAATTGACCTTAGTGAGAGCATTTACACCACAGAAATCAGTGAACTATACAAGCCATCCCTATCCCATTTTTTTTTTTTTTCCTACTGGAGAGGTAGGAAAAAAATTAAACATTTACCCTATGGTTTTAACTATCATTCTTAATCATAGGTATCTGGTAATCAAAGCTGACAGCATTTCCAGATCAAGCTGGTTTTCCTAGGAATATGACCCTGTAATATGACATGAGAATGACTGAAAACTGTCACAAGGATATAATGTGCAAAATACTTCGGATTATTAACCCACTTTAAGCAAGTTTGTCCTGTACGTTTCAGGGCTTCCTGAAAACTTGAAAGTGAACTCCTGTAAACTCCCCCCAGTATCCTCAGAAGTCAAGAACAATTATTTACTTGAGAATGTTGAATAGGACAAGAGAAAAGAAGGGAAGAGACATTCGTTAACAGAATCTATTAAAATGTCTTCAAAATTGTCTTTAGTATTTTATGTAAAATTTCACTGTAGGTAATTGTATTTAAAAAAAAGTATATCACAAGCTAATATGTCAAAGGAACAGGGAACTTTAACGAATGTACTGACATTAAGGAAGTGTGGGAAGGCACTGATGTGGTCAAATCTTTAGAACTCCCCAAGACTACCTCTCTGGACTTCTATGTTTCATCTCCAAAATTATAGCTACATGCAAAAACATAGCTTCATACATGCTTGGTGGGGGTGTAAAATGGTACAATCATTTTGAAAAATTGTTTGGTAGTATCTAATATTCCTAAGTATTTTATCCAAGAGTAATAAAATTTGCATGTCCACACAACTCAGCTTTAAAAGAGCCCCCAAACAAACTAGAAACACAAATTCCAGTAACAGGACATTTGTGGTATATTCATATGTTAGACTATTACTCAATACTTTAAAGGAACAGACTATTGATACACACAGAAACATATACATTGTAGGATATTCATACATTTTGGTACATTCATATTTTGGACGAGTACACAGGAATTAAAAGGAACAGGAACAGACTATTGATGCAATGACCTGGGTGTATCTCAAAAACAGGAACTGTGAGAAAGAAATACCATACAGTGAATACTTTATGATTTCATTTATACATAATTCAAGAACAGGCAGAACTAATCTGTGGTAATAGAAATGAGAAGACTGGTTGTCCCAGACCTGAGAATGGAAGGATTGTTTGGGAAAGGATCTGTGGGAACTTTCTGTCTGGGGTGATGGAAATGTTCTAATTCTCTCTCTCTCTCTCTGCGCTCGCTCTCTCTCTTTCTCTCTCTCTCCCGAGTAGCTACGATTACAGGCGCCTGCCAACACTGGCGGCTAATTTATTGTGTTTTTAATAGAGATGGGGTTTCACCATGTTAACCAGGCTGGTCTCGAATTCCTGATTTCAGGTGATCCGCCCTCTTTGGCCCCCCAAAATGTTAGGATTACAGGTGTGAGCCACCACGCCCAGCTGAAATGTTCTAATTCTTTGTTGGTGGTTATACGCTTGTCAAAATTTATCAAACTGTCCACCTACGATATATTTTAAGCCTGTATTAAATGTAAATTAGAACTCAATTGAAATCTGTATGAATAAATATAAATAAACACATATTTACATTTCTAGTCTAATCCGATAGTCTATTGCAATGAATCCGGCTCCCCTCTGACCCAAGAATTCCACACTTTCTCTCCACCGGCCTTTCAAATACCTGGACTTCATGGTTTCAAAAGGTAGATTCAGGCTTCTTCAAGGCACAATCACCCGCAGGTCATTTCCGCCTAACTTGGAGATTTCGCATTACTGACACAAACGCTCCCTCTGAACAGCCCAGCCTGGACAACAGGAGAAAGTTTGGGAGTCAGGTTCAGTTCAACCTTTCAACTTGGCAGGGAATTCTTCTCCCTCTTACACAGTTTGCAGCAGGGGCAGCGGGGTCACAGCCCCCGTCCCCTCCCCCGGGGCATGAATCAGCCACCCCTCTGGCTCCGCCTCAGTGGGGGTCGGCCGGACGCTCGCCCTGCATAAAGCTGGCACTCTGGCCGACTGGAGCAGGACGCCTCAGGCCGACTGGAGCAGGACGCTGCGCGCCTCCTCTTGCCCGGCGTTTTCTAAGACGCCTCGCCCAGCGGGCGGCTAGTCCCCCTGCACAATGGACCCCTCTCGCCCTGTGGGACTGTCGATTCTGCTCCTGCTCCTAACGGAGGCTGCACTGGGCGATGCTGCTCAGGAGCCAACAGGTATCTGGCCACTCTGGGAGCCTCTGTCCCCAAAGAGCTTCCCCTGGTGCGGGCGGAGAGGGTGCAGCGGGCCAAGGGGCCCCGCGCACCCGCCCTCCAAACCTCGCTTCCTCCAGGCTCCTGCGGCGCGATCCGAGGAGCCTCGGGGAAGTGGGACTGGCTCCCAAGTGTGCACTTTCTCTGCAGAGGCCCCTCCGCTAGGAATCGGCGGGGACAGAACTCCCCGGGATGCCCCTTTCTCCTAGGAGATACACCTAACCACTTTCCCTGTCTTTCGCTTTCCTTCTGCCCCTCCTGCAGGAAATAACGCGGAGATCTGTCTCCTGCCCCCAGACGAGGGACCCTGCCAGTCCCGAATTCCTAGGTACTACTACGACAGGTACACTCAGAGCTGCCGCCAGTTCACGTATGGGGGCTGCGAGGGCAACGCCAACAATTTCGAAACCCAGGAGGCCTGCGACAACGCTTGCTGGTGGATACAGAGTAAGTGCCCCCGGGCGCACCCGGGACTCCCTCGTGCGCGCCTTGCGTAGGCGGCCAGTAGCAACTTCGCAGGTTTCCCAAGTCTCGCTATCTACAGGAAGTTGTAGCCTGGGTTTTCTCGTGTTAAGCAAACCCCATGGTTTTCAGTTTCTCAAAAGTATTCACTAATTTACAACCACTAACACATTTCCTGTCTCCCAACTGACATTGATCATAATTCAATGCCTGGGCAGACTAAGGGATGTATTTGTTACTTCATCATAGAGTATAATAAATGCACGAGAATAATGTGTTAGGCGCAACAGACGTGCTTCTCTGTATTTATCATTAGTTCCAAACCTATGGCTTTTTCTCTCTCCTGGAGGACATAATTTTCTCTTGTCGATTATCCATCAACTGAAACACTTTTACTGGATTTTATTATTAAAGTGTGATTTGGCTCAACTCTTTTTTGTCCCGATACCCAAACGTGTTGGATTAGTTGCGGGATATGGTGGAGATTCATTATACTGCTATATTTTACTTTTTTAATTTTTAAATTATATCTGTTAAGGCCTGTAAGAGAACATGGGGCTTTGCCATTCAAGGAACTGAGGCAGGAGAAAACGTGTATTCATGTGACTAAGCTTTGATTAACTGCATATGTACAAACAATCAGAGAACACCCAGAGAAAACAGTCTTTCCACTCAACTAAGATATAGCACAGCTGAATCAGCTGAATATGCACTCTTAGAAAAAAAAGTAAAGAAAAAGGTAAATAGCTGGATTCATGGGAGTGTTTTGGGGATTTACTATCCCAACAATAATATGACTTCTCCCCGCGCCCCCGAATGTTGCTGAAAACACAGTAAAAGTTTGAAAGTAATAATAAGAAGGCTACTTTTGACTAACATTGCTCTATTGCCCTCCTTTTCCTAGAAGTTCCCAAAGTTTGCCGGCTGCAAGTGAATGTGGACCAGTGTGAGGGGTCCATAGAAAAGTATTTCTTCAATCTAAGTTCCATGACATGTGAAAAATTCTTACGTGGTTGGTGTCACCGGAATGTGAACATGTTTCCAGATGAAGCTACTTGTATGGGCTTCTGTGCACCAAAGAAAAGTAAATACTATTTTTATGGTAGTTCTATTTTACTTTTTTATTAAGACATTTGGGTGGAAAAAATTCGATTTGATGTGAAATACGTGGTTTGCATTCTCATGATTTCACATTACTTGGCAAGTTAATGACTTGTCAAGTTCTTAAGACTGGAAAGTGACAAAGCCATGATTCAAATTTTTGCTTTCTGCCTCTTCTGAATTGTTTATTTAGAACTATTTCTCATCTCAATTCACACATAAAAGATTATTCCTTAATGAATGTTATGACCTCAGATTTGTACAGAATCAGTTATACATGTGGGATAGTGGAATGTATACAGAATTAAGATGGTGAAACTTGAAAATTTCTTTCTAAAGTTTTTGATTAGATTTCTATATTCTTTAGTAATTGCAAATTGCAGCACAAACAACTCTACATGTTTCTGTCCAATCCATCTGTTACCTCTCACGCCACCACCCCTGAATCCTTGAAATGATGGTCTCTTGAGTAGTATTTATTATTTTCAGGGGGAGACAATACAAGGATTTCCCCCAGACACAGAGATTTTTAAAAAGTTCAACAAACAAGGAAAACTTGCTTTGGCAGAGAACTTGATAAAGCTTTATAGCTATACTGTATTGAATATGCAAAATCTTGAGTTAATGTGGCGACGGTTGCTGTGGATGTGCTCTTGTTTGTGTAGATATGTTTTATTGTAGTGGTTATCTGGAAATTAATATACATATATTCTTGATTAATAATAGAATGAGAGCTGTGAAAAACATTAAAATAAAACTACCAATGCAACAAAGTTTACTAAATCATGCCATATATTGTCCTTGAAACTTAGCCCATTTTTACCTAACCATATCTGGTATTTGGGTTTAACTTCTTTTTATATTTAAAGACTACAAAGATGTAGCTTCAGAAGAAATTTTATTCAGTTTATAAAAATTTACAGTTACCAAAATATAGCATGTAAGTTTACCTGCAATTTGAAGCACACCTTTTAAAGGTTTAGTATGATATCTTGGATTCAGAATAAGGCTTCTATGGGATTAGATTTTCTTCAGTTACTTCAGTAATCACCATAATTTTAAAATTCTGGTATTATAACATTTCTAATGTTCTTCTCTTTTTTACAAAGGTCTATCATATTGCTACAGTCCAAAAGATGAGGGACTGTGCTCTGCCAATGTGACTCGCTATTATTTTAATCCAAGATACAAAACCTGTGAGGCTTTCACCTATACTGGCTGTGGAGGGAATGACAATAACTTCGTTAGCAGGAAAGGTTGCATACGTGCATGTGAAAAAGGTAGTAAATGTTTTCTTATTCCACCTTTAGATAAACTTTATAAATAACTTATCAGCAAAATTATATTTTTATTTATTTATTTTACTAAAAGCAAATAGCCATTTCTAGGCTACCCCTACATAAGTATCTCCGTGGTGTTAATCAGTATTGTCAAAATGCTTTTATTGGCTAGCTGCAGTAAACAGTAGCTATATCTTCATATCTTAAAAGTAGAGTGTTATTAACTGAGTGTATAATGAGTTTTGACTTTACAGTCCTTAAAAATAAGATGAAGTGAGCTCAATAAGCATATCAGAAATGGTTATTTATAGTGAGCCTACAAATGGAAGATGTGTGATTTTCATTGTTGTTTTATTGATTTTAGCCTTGAAGAAGCAAAGGAAGATGCCAAAGCTTCCCTTTTTCAATAGAACCCTGAAAATTTGGAAGAAGCAAGTTTAGGCATTTTTAATATGTCATCTCGTGAATGCTTATTTGCCTTTGTGGTTTTATCTGAAGAATAATATGACAGCATGAGGAAACAAATCATTAGTGATTTATTCACCAGTTTTTATTGATACAAGTCACTTTTTAAATTTGTATGTTTTTTATATATAACTGGCGGCTATTCAAATGTGAGTCTACCATTTTTAATTTATGGTTCAACTGTTTGTGAGACTGAATTCTGCAGTGTGTGAGATATAAAAGCAAATATGATTCACCCATTTCTTGGGATGGTATTCCTGATTTCAGAAGAGGATAGTAACTGAAATAGCACAAGACAATATAATTGTGTGCTTTCAACATATTTGAGAATAAAAAGGACCAGCAAATAAAACTCATTTTGCGTTTAAAAGTTGGATTATATTTTAGGCCCAAGAAGACAAAGTTGGAGATTTACCAACACTTTAAAAAATATTCCAAGTGCTATTATGCAGATACAACTAATATTATTTCCATTTTATTGTGTTAGATTGCAGTACAAGGAATGAATAAGGGGATTTATTTAAAAGATCATAACTTTCTTGACCAATTAAAAAAGCTAATCAATTTATTAAAACCAGAAATGTTCACAATTTCTATTTATCTATCAATCCCCACTCACATGTATATGTTTGTGTTGACATATTGATAGAAGGTTTTAAAAGTTTTCCTGTTACATTTTTCCTAAGACATAGTGGGTTGGAGACCACTGAAGTTATAAGAGAGCAAGGAAAGTAAAGTTGTTCAAATGTTTGTACTGCTTAAGGTGTTTATTTTTATAAACCATGCATGAGAAACCATGCATAAGTTTAATAATTTAAATTCCACCATTAAATTCTCATTGATTAAATATGATTATTCCAGTGAAGCGGGTTTTTTCTTTCTCTGTAATAAAACAATTTTTCATGGCAAGATGAACATATTTAAAAGTATGCCGCTTATTTGGAAAAATTATAAATGCATTTACCTTTTGCTTGAACAGTCTTTCATTTAAAAATGTATTTCAGTTATTTTGACAAATAGGTATATGCCTGAGAACATTGACTGATGCTGAAAACTAGAAACAAACCAGATACTCACCAGTAAGGGACTGGTTGAAGATTTTACGGATGAAGAGTTAGCAAAATATCTATATATGTATGTCTTCTGACCCCCAGAACACGTAAGAAACACAGGTCCTAGAACAGTAAAAGTCAGGATTTTCAATGTTAAGAGAAAATGAGATATAAGTATAAAATTAAAGAAATTAAGTACAAACCTTTGACTTAAGTTGTGATTAGAAATATCTGTATAAATTCGTAACTGATTTTCTCTATAAAAAAATCTGCATTTCCCACTTTTCCGTTGAAAAGTCCTCGAGATAATGACAACTCAGTAGCAGTAGTTACATTTACCATAAAGACTGTGGTCTCTCCATACTCATTAAAAAGAACCAGTTCTCTTAGGAGAATAGCTGAATCCAGGTCCAGGGCAGGAAATATATAAGACAAGCTTGGATCATCATACTCCAGAAATCAAGAAAGCTACCAAAGATTAATGAATCACGTCATAAAGACAGGAGAGTAACATTTAGGAGCTCCCACTAACCTAAAATGAGACAATATGAGGATCAAAACAAATAATGGCCACAATGTATATAAACATATAGAAATCTGAGTTTATAATTATACGCATACACCTTCTTGGTACATTTTGGAGGTTTCTAGGGCATTATCTCATTACTTTGAAAACTGATGAATTAACAGAAAGAATAAAGCATTTATCCTTTTTTTTTTGTTTATTTTTTTAAAAGTGTACCACAGAGAAAATAGTATATGGAAGTTGTTCATAGAATTCCACCTAATACATACATCAAAATGTTGGAAAATACTGCTGATGAAAGTATGAATCTAGGTAATAACCATCGTCACTGGGTGCTGAAACCATTATATGAAAGGTTTTGGGGACAGTCTCATGGGAAATCAAGCTGATGTCTCTGAACTCACAGATTGTTTTAACATCCATAATAGTTTAGCCATAGACATTATTTACTTCCCGATATGATATAATAATAAGTACACCCTCCCCATCAAGTATTCTTGGAGAAATAAAAACAGTAAACCCAAAGTTAGTCAAACTTCTAGATCTCACTAACATATTGCCAGATTATAGGGAAATATTCGGGATATAGGAGCACGTTTTAAGAAACCAAAGGAAGTAAATCCATAATGTTATGGACACTCTACAGGACAAATACCCTGGTTTCTCCAAACAAGTGAATAAAATTTTTTAAAAAGGGCAAAGGGGAGAAGTGCTTTAAGAAAAAAATAATAGTTAGCAATGACAAAAGCAGCATGCCGTTAAAAAGTTGAGTAAGCCCTGAATTTATGACAGTTTTTGGTGGGAATGATTATAGGAAAAGGATCTCGTGTGTGTTCTGGTGTTGCAGAGTGAGTGATTCAGAGCCTCTGAGGATTCTGGGGGTTCCTAGAAATCCCAAAGGGAAGCCAGATTTGGTACTTGCTCCCTTTATCTCCCATGTAGCCAAAGCCCTTAGGGGATCATAGATACAACTCAGCCTACATTTGCACCCCTCTGTTTAGAATTGGTAGGAAGTAGATCTTTTGGATAAAATTATTCTAATGCCTTATTACCTTTACCATGCTAGTTCAATAAAGTATATATAAAGTGGTCATAGGACATTCTGCAGCCAAAGGGAAAATCCTTCTTTCCACAATCAGTGGGAAGGCAAGTCACAGCTGTCGTTTCACAGACAGCCTACTTAAAAGAAATGTCTTATTCTGTGACACAAAAAGTCAAAACAGAAATGGGATGGTTTTTAATAAGGCGATATTTTTAAATTACCCTGGACTACCACTCATGTGTCCTCTGTGCACATACATTGTCATAATATTCAACCATAGAAACTGCAATGGAGGCCTCCCAAATTGCCTGGATCACAGTACCCCCAAGTGTGCATGCTGTCTCCCCCAACAGTCTTGTTAGGCTTTTAACCAACAATTTTATCCAGTCAGAGAATATTCTATGGAATGTCTGTCAATATATTGTAATAATGGCTGTAAAAATTTTAGCTATGATGCATCCAGAGATAAATCTCTAGGGTGTCCCCAAGGAGTTGACCTAAAATAGTCAACATGAGAAGGATGTCTCTTGATCCTTCATTAGCCTTCTTATGAATGGATGGACTTCATTGTAGTGGCAGGAACTTATCTTTACAAGCTTCATGTTTCCAGTAAAATTTAGGTCTTGTGACAAAAATAAGGAAAAGTAGAAAAGTACAGAGTTGTATCATTAAAATATCCTTTGCGTATCTATTGTTATAAACTTAGATATAGAAGTAGGCAAACACAAAATCAGAATCATCCAAAATTATTTCTTCTCACTTCACCCACATGATCAATTGTTCACCAAGTAAACCTAGGTAAGCCTTTCCTAATCCTCATCTTATACCAGAAAAATTAAAACACTCCCAAGTTTTTCTTCCAGTCTATGTCTGCCTCATATCTAGTCATCTACACTGATGCCAGAGTAATGCTGGAAAAAAAATATGATCAGGTTAATCCTTTGCTTAAAACTCTTCAGTGGTTTCCTATGGAATCTTCACATACTGTCCAAGCTCCTCATGTGTCATTTAAGAATGGTTATGCATGTACTATAACATGCTTTTCCAGATGCATCTCTCATTATCTGTAACCTGTTATTCAGTTGCACTAAATTATCTGCAGTTTCCAAAGCATGTCAAATTGCTTTACTTTTCTACAACGTGGTTCTGAAATTTTGTACATGAGAACCATCTGTAGAGCCAGGTATGCAGCAGACTTTTATACCCTGTGCCCAGGGGTTTTTATTTAGTGGGTTTGAGTTGGCGCTCAAAGATGCACATTATAAACAACAACTCCAGATGATTAGGATGTACACTTTACATCCCACTTTAAGGAACACTGTTTCTAAGCCTTACCATAAGTTTCTTTGAAAAAATATACATTATTCCCTCCTTGTAACTATTTGGCCAGTTGAATCTTCTTGTTGATAAAGTATTCCTTGCCCAACCTGAAGCAGGTTTAATCATTTCTCCTGTGGGCTTGCTTAAACCTAGTGCAACATCCTAGTTGTACTACTGCAGTATTTAATTATTTTCCTTGAAGTTTTATTCTGAGGGCATCAAAGTTTTTTGTGTAAAGTTAATGCTATTTTTTCTTTTCAAAATATATTATTAAACTAATTGTATACTAGATAGGAAATAAAATACATAGGATAAAAATAAAAGTAATGCAGAATTTTACCACCAAGTGATTAGTAACCCATGTCTGTTTTCTTAAGGTGGAAATAACTTAGTAAAGAGATATACACATTTTAATGCTCTCAGTTTATACTGAGAAAGTGTATTACAAATTACATCAATCTATCTCCAACTAAAAATATATGAAAATGGCCAATACATTAGGTATAAACAGAAAAATATTAATACATCACTAAAGGCTAGTACCATTAGTTATTTTTCCTGATCTTCCCCTTCCTCCCACCCTGCACCCTCCAAAAGGCCCCAGTGTATGTTGTTCCCCTCTATGTATCTGTGTGTTCTCATCATATAGCTCTCACTTGTAAGTGAAAATATGCAGTATTTGGGTTTCTGTTCCTGTGCTGGTTTGCTAAGGAAAATGGCCTCCAGCTCCATCCATATCCCTGCAAGGGATGTGATCTCATTCTTTTTTATGGCTGCATGGTATTCCATGGTGTATATGTACAACATTTTCTTTATCCAGTCTTTCACTGATGGACATTTAGGTTGATTTCATGTCTTTGCTATTGTGAATAGTGCTAAAGAGCTTCTGCACAGCAGAAGTGATATCTTATAGTGGTTTTAATTTGCATTTCCCTCCATAGTTAATGATGGTAAGCACCTTTTCTTGTACCTGTTGACTATTTTTATGTCTTCTTTGGAAATATGTCTATTTAGCTCTTTTGCCCATTTTTTACTAGGTTATTTGGTTTTTGGTTTTACTACTGATTTCTTTTATATTTTGGATATTATCCCCATGAGGTATATGTTTCACAAATATTTTCTTCCCATATGTAGGCTTACTTTTCATTTTGTTGACTGCTTCCTTTGCTGTGCAAAAAACTTTTAGTTTGATGTAGCACCACCTATTTATTTTTGCTTTTGTTGCCTAACCTTTTGGGTGATATCCAGGAAATTATTGATAAGGCCAATATCAATAAGATTGTCCCCTATGTTTTCTTCTAGGTTTTTTTTTTGGTTTCTGACATTATGTGTAGGTATTTAATCCATTTTGAGTTGATTCTGGCATATGGTATAAGAATAAGGGTCCAGTATCATTCTTTTGCATGTGGATATCCA